TATATATATATATATATTCAGGGCGGAACATACATACATCAGAACTACATTTTGATATTGGCATTTTGTAGATAGTGTGATGCCACTGAAAACTGATTACTCAGATCATTCAGATGCGTTTAGATTAGGAATTTAGAATTTTCCAAATGTAGATATCTCTTGTACTTAACCCTATTGACATGGGTATCCTTTACTGAATTTCTTCTAGTCTGACACATTTTATCTAGGTATCTTCTCTTCTCTACTTTATTCATTGCCCCCTCCAAAAATTACGAAATTCAATGCAAGTTACTCTATAAAATTGTCATTGCTCAGACAAACCATATTTTTTATAGCCTTCACTTTTGTTTGATTACAGAGCTACCAAATAGAATATCAGACCTCTCCTGCCACACCCACGTCACATCCTCTCTTTCAGGATTTGTTAATAGTTCTCTCTTACATTTAATCATATATTATTTATAACCAATAGAAAGCTAAGGTTTTCATCTATCAAATGACATATTATATTACATTGTATTCTGAACATATAATTGTCAATTTCACTCGTAGTACAGGCTTCGCTCCCACAGGAAAGGTAATGACTAGTTTGGATGAATTTGTAATGGTTCTTGTCACATAGTTAAAAACCCAGAAAAACTGTGATAGTTATGGGAAATTGTCTGCTTTTTTGCATGTTATTAGTTTATATTCTTTGGTGCATTATTTAATTAAATAAAAATTATTTTGTGCATTACTACCGCTAGTATAAAAAAGTGGGGTGAAGTGTCATTAATAGTTGACAGCAAAAAAAAAGAAAGAAGAATACTCAGGTAAGTACTTTATTTTTTATGTTTATTGTTTATTTAGTATTATAAAAGTAACTAAAATGAAAAAAATAGAGATTTCTTTAGGTTAATGAAGGTTATATTAAGTAAAATAAACAACATTAATAATATAATAAAAATATTTCATGATTCACACATGCAAGCAGCTCGGAGTAGCTCATTGGTAATGTAATTCGATAGCATAACATGAGCTGCACATTCCTCAAGTGATTTACAACTTATAATGGTGCAAATAGTAGTTAGACATGGTTCAAAAGCCAATAAAACAATAAAATTCAATAATGAATAAATGTATATTGTTACGAGTTTAAAGCTACTTAGGATAAATGAATGTAGTTTCACACTACATTTGAAGTAATTCTAGAAAGAAAAGGATAATAATTTAGATATATTTCAATTTTGTTTGGTGGTTACGAGGTCAGTCAAATTGACCAACCTTGTGTAGAGTTAGATAATATAACATAAAATATAAAGTTTTACTGAAAACAAACATTTGAAAAGTATTTTGTAGGTTTTAGAGATTACACAAATGAAATTTGATATTTTTGAGATGAGTATTTTAATCTTACCATGAAAATCACTTTGCACACGAACTACTCAATATATTCAAGGACAAATCTTTTTTTTTTGTTTATTAAAAATACTTCACTAAAAAATATGATTTTTTGTAGGTAAAAGGGTTATAATGTTTACTGAAAGACTGCCACATTTTGATATACACACTATATCAAAAGTTATTATTACCAAATCTATCAATACTTTATACGAATACAAAAAGGTCATGTGTATTGGTCACGAGCCTGTGTGGAGAGAGTTAATGGCATTGGAAAACAGAGGAATACAGATCAACCTAAGGCACCAGGACCACCCAAAGAAAGACCTGCAACAAGTCATACCTCCAGATGTGGTGAGCAAAGTACTGCATCTAACAGGTTAGAAGCAAAATATCCACATGTCCCAAGCATTTAGAAAAATGACACAAGTTCTTTCCATAACATATTTGCTCAACTGTCACTGGTTGTTGGAGAAGGAAATGGACATTCATGTTATTGTATACAAGGGCATAACAGATGCAGTAAGTATAGATTTCTGCATAATGGGACTATTGAAATGGGTCCCCAGAAAATTGTTATACACTATAATATAGGGATTATGGAAAGTTTATCAGAAAGAGTAGTGTGCTTTAGACATGATAGCCTTAAGATAGAGCCTTTTACTGTACATACTATGCCTGCAGTACTATTATTAAGATGCACAGTTATCTGCCAGAACATGGCCAGATGTGACAACATAGGCTGTGGAAATGTGATAAGAAAAGAGTAGCTGAACCCATGTATACATAATATTGCATAGGTGCTGAATTTGATGTCTTTATTCACAGCAACCTATAGTTATTGTTATAGTAAAGTTCTGGTAAAATTACTGTACATTGAAATTCATGCTACATTTTAGTTGCATGTCATATAGTTTACATTACAAGTATGTTCTATCATGAAGACAATACTTTAAATTCCAAATTTTATTAAACATTTTAAAATTTTACTGCATTAGCTATACTATTTATAATAGTTTTTTTTATTACTTTATAATTTTAGTGTTGCAAATTATATATATGAATAACTATTTTCCTGAACACAGTTTTTATATACACTGCTTATGTCTTTTTTCCAGCTTAATGTACTTCACCACATAATATTTATTACTTGCAGGTGTTCATTTTCTTTCTGACCTACAATATCTATCTTTGACAGACCCTTATCTGTAACTATATATCAAAAAGTGGTCACTTTAAGTCACACATACTTAACAAAACCTAAAATGGCACATTCTGATGACCTCTTGCGCATATATAATCTATAAAGAATTAACCATACAGGTGATATATGCATGGTAAAAATTTATATTTTGATAACTGGCATTTTTTCTCTAAATTTTGTTTATAATCTGATTAAGATTTTTTTTATCAAAGAATATTTCTATCTTGAATTTTCAATGTTATGCACAGGCATATATGCACATTCCAAGCTACACCCCTGCAATAAGAGAGTTAAGTGATCAATACCAGTTGATACAGCTATCAAAATATTCTCCAGAAGAAAGAAACAAAATTTTATTTTTATTTGTTATCAAGTATCTTTCCTCTGTTATCATCTATCATCAAAAAATTATTTATTTATTAAAACATTTTATGTTTATATTTATTTGTTTTTTATTATCGTGGACAATATGCAACAATGACAAAGGATAATATAACTAAGGAAGGTGTGTCTTGTTGCACCAAACACAAAAGTGTTAACATGATAATCAATGAAAAACTTATCTATGAACAATAAACATTGTTCTCTTTATGCGTGGTTATGAGTTCCCACATTCAGTTTGTTTTTTTTGCATTTCTGAAAGACTGTGGTTTAGGTGTGGTCTAGCTCAATCACATAGCACAATTTAGTCATAACTACACTATCAAGACAATTTATATTTTATTACAGCAAGCTCTGCTTTTGTTTACTCTATGCAGATATAATCTCTACCTTTTAACTTGCTTCAGTGTCTCTACCTATCTTAATTTCCCTCCTGCAACCAGGTTTGAATCAGAAACTTTACACAATTAGTCCATGATAAACAAGCTAAGAGCTTTTAGCTGACTGTAAGCAATACGTATAGTATGGTGTCAGAAAAATGACAGTACATACAATGTCACAATAACTTCCCATCCTAAATTAACGTAGAATTAATATGGGTGTGCCTATGGAGTAGTCTCTTCCCACCACTGACAATTTTGATAAGTATTTTGTATTCCAAATCTCACAATACCACAACTTTTCTAATTTTAAATTTTCATAATGTATACTAAATTATAAAATGTCTAAAAAGTTAACATTTCACATTAATTTTTATCAGAAAATCTAATTTTGGCTTTTAATGAAATTCATTTTTTCTTTTAATGACTTTCTCTGACTGATGTAACATTTTCAAAACATGCTATGGATGTGTGAACAAAACAATAGTATCATCCACTATACCAGTAGTGTTTATTTTTTCCCAAGTAATTAAAAACATTTTGTATATGTAAAATGACGTACTGATGGCAGTCAGTGTTCCATCTATGCTGTGTGGCCACACAACAACCAATCAAGTGCTGTGCACATCCTCAGTAATGGTGAAGAGTCTCAATATGTTGATGGCCTTAATGACCCTGGAAGTCGATAGGCCTAAAGCCCAAATAAACAACTAGTAGCATTGCAAAGCAGTCTAATGATCCAATAGGGTCGATGGTCTAAAAATACCCCCCCACCCCAAAAAAAAGGTAGCTCACATCTGCACATTGCCTTGATAATGGTGCACATAAAAAAATTAGAAAGAATGCTGATGGCAGTGCCAAAAAAAAATGCAAACAAGAATACAGGGATGATACAATTATACACAGAACATCCCTACATGACTTTCAATATTAAAATTTAATGTTTCACTGTAAAATTCATACTTGACTTTAATATTATTGCAATAAAAGTAATGTGTAGGGATGAACTATGTATAGCTGTGTCAACCCTATATTCTTGTTAGCATTCTTTTTTGCCACTGCCATCCCTACATCATTTTACATTTACAAAATGTTTTTCTATTACTTGTTTTGTGACATTTTTTCCTTTGACTGAAAGTGAATGTATTCTATGAATCTGTGTAATGAAGTTTAATATTATGTGTACTGACTTTTTTTACTCTTTCACTTCATACATAATATAGGGGTTGGCTCTCTAAAGACACCGACTGTATAGTGTTCAAAGCATTAAATATTCTACATATTAAAGTCATCTAATATTCACCTATTATTGGCTGGTAATTCCTGTTTCACCCTGTACTTAAGCTTTTAGAGTAATACTAGATATCTTTACAAAAGCTAACTTCAAGGGGTACTGACAACATCATTTACACTAAAATTATGATTTTTTTAAAATTACTACTAGTTACTACAACTAAGTGATAACATTGTGCACTGCCCAAAACACAGAGAGGATCTAGATGTAAACTGACATTAGTGATAAAGTAGCTGTAGAGTTATCTCGACTAAAAAAAAGAAAGATGAACAATTTGGTGGGTTGGTCACTTTCTGTTTTGTTATCTCAGCAATGGTTTCTTGCCTTGTTAGGAAGAGAAACAAAAGAAAGTGAGTGGCAATCATCTTTTAATGTAAAACAATAGGTCACTGTTGATTTTTTAGTGTGCATATTTGTATTATGCCTATTGAGTACTTTGGCCATCCCTACATATAGTCTACCAACTCTATGATACCATTTTACATCAAACTCACACTTATCAATTTTATTTTCAGAAGTTTTGCACCTGTGGTTTCTCTCAATTTGGTTTAATTATGAAGGAAGACAGATTAAGTATCACACTTTTGAGATACAGTTACACAACTCTCAACACAGGCTCAGTCAATTTGACCAACCACATAACCTTTTTGTACTCGATTAAAGTCTTTATAAATTTAATACAGTATGTATATCTTCACAAAATTTGGCAGTCTTTCAGTTCATATTATGTCTTTCACAGACAAACAAATGTTATTTTTTAGTGAAGTACTTTTAATAAAATAAAATAAAGATTTGTTTTGAATAGTCTGTGTGAAAATTAATTTTCATGTTAAAACTAAAAATACTTTTCCTCATCTCACTAGTGGAAATTCAGGATTTTTTAAATATTGCTTTGTAGAAGTAAGAACTTAAAACTGGTATACTATTAAAATATGAATTATTAGCTAAGATTTTATGCTATGCTAATTTATATAACATAAACAAAAAGTTGTTTAATAAAATTTTGAATGTAAGACACTAAAACCTTGTGTCATGCACCCAGGGCAATAGGGTTAAAATGTATACATATTTTATTAAATATCAGCAACTTCAAACAATCAAGAAATGAAAAAAACAAACACAAAAACTTATAAACTGATACCTACGTTTCTTTTTGTAAACAGTATAAATCCTGGAGTGTGTTTTTTCTGATGGGTCTGGAGATCTCCCACTCTTCACAATATATACATGAAGCCACAGACTTCCATTGTTCTGTAGCTTCTATGAGAAAAAGGTTTACACTTGAAAGATTCAAGTGGAGAACATTTGAATAATAAATTGCATTTATTTGAAAACAGATTTAATTAAAAAAAGTAAAATCTTTGATATGACTATTATAATATTAGAATAATTTCTGAATTATTCTATGAGACTTGTGCTTTTTCTTTTTAATATTACACCGATCTTTTCTTCTTCTAATTTTTAAACCATAATTCATACTTAGTAAAAAAAAATGTCTGTTTGTTACTGACTACAAAAAAAAGAAAAAAAGAAAGCAACTACGAGATCTAAGCACAGTATAAGTAGTGCTATCATTACTCATCTAGATAGCCCAAGTATGCTGTTACTTTGTTATTAATATACTTTTCTGGGTTTTCTTTAATAACAGTTTACATTTCTACTGTAACAAGAGCATCTTTATCATTCTAACAAGATAAATTTGAAATAACAACATTTAAATTACAATAAAGAATTCTCTTAATTATCTACTTTTTCTAGTCTTCCTAGTTTCCCAAATGAATAAAATGTGCTACTATTTAATGAATCAACACAAGCCAACAAGTATTTAGATTTTTCTTCACATACTTCTAACTCACATAAGCTGGCTGTTGTATCTACAATGAACCACAAAGCCAGTATTATTTACATAGAACCATCAAAAAAACATAAAGAACTAAATTTCATTAAAGATATTGCAAATCAAAATGAATATTCAAGAAACTTACATAACCGTGTCCTTTTATTGAAAAAATAAAATAAAAGTAAAGTCATTCCAAAAACCAGGATTGCACTTTCTTATATTAAAAGTTTGTTTCTTTTAATCCTTGTTCTTCCCTTATGGACATTTTGGTGCATCCTAAGGATATGTCCTCTAGATAAATTGTAAATTCTTTAAAGCAAATATATACTTCTTTCATATATATATCAAATAGTAATAATTTTTTCCTTGTGTCTAATTTACAGAAGTATTTTGTATTTTTTATAGCTAAATCACCATCATGAGTAGTAATGACCAACACAAAGCATCATGAAAATGTGATAGTGACACATGGAAAAGATGGCCCAAGAGAAAGCTTTACAGCACCAAGAAGTAACTAAGGAGACACATAATATTCTAGAATTTATAGTAAAACAGTCAAGTCAGCAGGCATAAGAACTTGCAGATACAGATGGTCAGCAACAACAGACACAAGAACACTTGGATGGAGATAGAGATGCAGCTGGACAAGCAGCATTAAAAACAAGTAAAACCAGAAGAGCAGCATCCAGATTTCCTGGCTAATACTGGATTATGAGTAGCAAAAATGGGAGATGACATGATAGATTTCTAGTAAAAAATAAAAAGGAAGGTTAGACCTGCAGCATAGTAATTAAGACTTCAGTAAATCAGTTTATCATGTCAATGAAAAAATAAAATGTAGCTGTAGTTCAGAAATGTTTGATTATATGCATCCAAATGCTGACAAGGTAAACTGTTATGTTATTCTCCTGCAACTGGCCAAATCTATTAATGACAGATGGTTTCATTGATTGTATTCATGATGGATGTACACTGGAAATGTGTGAAGGGCTCAATTTTCACTGCAATTTTATGACTGCATTCCCAAAGTAAACAAACACAGTTGGACAGATTGATCATAAATTGTGCAAACAAAGATGAATTGACAAATTACTGGCAAATGTTTTAAAATGGGTTATAACATAACATAATATTTTGGGACAACATGGGACTTATTGTTCCATCCTCAAAACTAAATTAAAATGATTAAAAAAAATTTTAAACCCAGTCCTTTTCATTCACATATTTATCAAGCTTTTTCTTAAATGCACTTAAATTTACTGCCTCTACAACATCTGAAGGCAACCCATTCCAAAGGCCAACCACCCTGTTAGAAAAATAAAACTGTCTTAGCTGAAAATGACTCCTACCTTGCCAAAATTAATATTTTTGTCCCCTAGTCCTAAATATGAAAAAAAAAGATGATATGCCAACACTATCAATTCCCTTTACAATCTTAAACACCTCAATCAGATTAACCCTAACTCTTATTTTTTGAAGAGAAAACAATTTGAGAGATTATAATCTCTCCTAATATGTCAACCCTTCCATCTCCAGCAGCATTCTAGTAACCTTCCTCTGAACCCTTTGTAATAATTCAATGTCCTTCTTAAGGTAAGGAGCCCAAGAATGAACACAATATTCCAAATGTGGCCTAACCAGCAACCTGTACAATGAAAGTATAACCTCTTGTATTCAATATTTCTATAGATACAACCTAAAATCCTATTTGACCTACCACTAGCAACAGCACACTGCTCGGATGGCTTTAGAGACTGATCGACTATTACACCAAGATCCCTTTCCTTCATAACACCATTAAGGTTATTCCCATCCAAATTACACTTATAATTCAAATTATGATAACCCACATGCATTATCTTGCAGCTATTATAATTAAAAGTCATCTCCCATTCATTTGCCCAACTCACTAAATGATCTAAATCCTTTCGTAAATCAGCAGCATCCTCTTCACAGCTAGAAACACCCAAAACCTTAATATCATCTGCAAATTTAAGCAATTTATTGACTATCCCTTCGTCTATGTCATTGATGTAAATCAAAAATGAGCAAAGGTTCTAAGATACCCCATTTGTGACATTAATCCAGTTTGACTGAACTCCATTTGTAACAACCCTCTGCTTTCA